TTTTGCCTTATTCATTGGTTTTTATCTTATGTTTTAATACAAAGTAACATGTATTTATTGTAAATTATACATTTTGGGTAAAAAGGTATTTTATCTGTGCTTTTTGCTATTTTTAATTAAGGTTTCATATCCTATTCTCTAAGTTGGTTATTTTCCTGTTACACATTTAAAAAGCTTTTTGTTTTTCATACCTATAGGATACAGGGTCTTTACTCATTCCTTGATTTTGTGGATCTTAAATCTTCTCTCAAAGAATAATTTTCAAAATGGTAAAAATATTACACATAAAAATAAAGAATGAACATTTGTCAAAAATATATATACTTAGCTCATTAATGAGAAAACTGGACAGACAAGATGTTGAAACTGGCTCTAAGAACCTTAGGGTGATTCAGTATTTATGGTCAGTGAAGAAAGAATATAGCACTGCTGATTATCTCCAGGTTAGTAAAGCAATAACTTTTGGGGCTATTGGGCAAAAATCATTTGCATCCCTACTGGACAAAAACCTGCAAGTTATCATATAACTTAAGTGTCTGGGTACTTGTGAATAATAAATATTAAATAATTCTGGGTAGACTTGTTATTGCTACCAGTGAACTAGATTTCTTCAAGGTCATAACTAGAGGTGAATCATGGATCTACATGCTTCAGTATGACATTGAAAAGAAGTGGAGTCCTTTTTTTTCTGACTTATTTCCAGGAGTTATGTAAGTTTCCTAACACACATATGATGTCTGTTTGGAAAAAGTCCAGCCATTGTTAATATAACGAGAATAGTTTGTGGAACATCAATGTAACTTGGCAGCCAAGGAGAGTGGATTGGAATACACATGTGTGAACAATGATGGCTTCACTGTATTAGTCAGTGGGGGTGGGAGACCCCACTGAGTGAGCATGTGTACTGTGTGCCTGTTGCATTCAAAATGACTGAATAAATAGAGCAATCAGTCTGCATCAAATTTTGTGTTAAGTTTGAACATTCATCCGTGGAAACTATCCTGATGATTCAGAAGGCTTTCTGGGACAATGTAATGAGTGCAGTGCAAATGAAAGTGTGGCACAAATGTTTCAAAGATGGCCAGGAATCTGTTGAAAGTGATCCACATTCTGAAAGGCCTGTAACAAGCAGAACACCTGAGAATGTTGAACATGTACAGGCTGCAATTAACAAAGATCGGTGACTGACAGTGTGAGAACTAGAAACTGATCTGGGGATTCTGAAGACTACCGTGTCTGAGATTTTGACGCAGGATCCTGTCATGAAATGTGTCATGGCAAAATTTGTTCTGTGACTTCTGCTACCAGAGCAGAAGGAACATCATGCTGCAATTACTAATGGCTTGATTCAAACTGCTCCCAATGAAATGGTTTCCTGAAGAAGGTCATAACCAGAAATGAATCATGGGTCTATGGCTATAATCCTGAAAGGAAGGCTGGTTGTCCCAGTGGAAGTCATGTGGTTCTCCATACCCAAGTAAAGCATGGCAAAGTCACAGCAAGATCAAGACCATGCAACTGTATTTTTTGATTGGGAATATGTTGTCCATCATGAGTATGCCTCTCCAGGCCTAACCATTAATAACGAGTACCACCTTCATGTTCTTCGATGGTTGAGAGATGCAATATGATGAAAATAGTGGCAGCTGTGGGCAACTGGTGATTGGCAGCTTCATCATGACAACATGTCCATTTATGCATCATGTCTTGTGCAGAGATTTTTGGTAAAATATCAAATCACCCAGGTGACCCAGTCCCTCTACAGCCCAATTTGGGTGCCCTGCAACTTCTGGCTTTTTCCAAAACTAAAATCACCTTTGAAAGGGAAAAGATTTTAGATCATTGATGAGATTCAGGAAAATACAATGGGGTAGCTGATGGCAATTCCAACAAAAGATTTTGCAGAGTGTCTTGAACAGTGGAAGAGAAACTGGGAGAACTGTGTGAGGTCCCAAGGTGCCTACTTTGAAGGGGATTGAGGCATCATTGTCCTATGTACAATGTTGCTTCTATCTTCTTCAGTAAATGTCTCTTTCATAGTACATGGCTGGATACTTTCTGGACATACCTGGTATGCTAGAAATTCCAACTCTTAGTGCCATAAACAACTACAGTTTCAGAATGACATTACCACCATAATCCATTTTAAGCATACAGTTTGAATTTTGACAAATGTACTTGCTCATGTAATCACCTCTTCTATCTAGATATAAAACATGTCTATCACTCAAAAAAGATCGTTGATTTTATTTACTGCCACTGTCAATTTGATTTGCTTTTCCTAGAGTTTCATATAAATGTACATAGTCTTGCATGTGTTAGTTCATTCTTTTTGTTGCTGAGAAGTTTTGCATTGTATTGATAGACCATAGTTTATTAATCCATTCACTTGTGGATATTTTGATGCAACTGTGTTTTTTGGTACCTGCTCTGTTTCTCCATTTATTAAGTCTTTTTGCTGTCAGCAATGTTTTATAGTTTCAGTGTGGAACTATTGCACCTTTTAAATTTATTCCTAAGAAATTCATGTGTTTTGATGCTACTATTATAGATGGAACTAAAAATATATTTTTTACTACTTTGATATCATAGATAAATGCAGCTGACTTTCATATTTTGCATTGTGTCCTGTTGCCTTTCTGGCCCCACCATTCACTTTAGTAGGGCTCTTTCTCTGTAGACAGCTGTAGAAATTCAAATGTCTATGAATAAAGGCAGTGTTTTGTGTTTCTTTGCCTTTCTTTGCTATTTAGCACCTCCAGTAATGCTGAATATATCAATTAGGAAGTGCTTTGTCCCAATATGTTTATTAGGAAGGACAGTGTTCAATATTTCACCACCAAGTATCATGTTAGCTTTAGGTTATTTTTGGATGTCCTTTATGGAATGAAATTTCCTTTGCTTCTTAGTGTACTAAGAGTTGTTATTATTACTGAGTTTTGTCAGAGGCCAATCCTACATCTGTTGAGATGATAATATAATTTTCTCCATTATCCTGTAAATGTGATACCTTACAATGATTTTAAAATATCGAGCCAGTTTTGTATTCCTGAGATAAACTCAACTTTTATGATATATTACCTCTTCATGTGTTGCTGGATTAGGTTTGTTCATATTTTGTTAACAATTTTTATTTGTATTTATGAGGGATTATTGTGCTATAATATCTTTATTAGGTTTTCATAAATGATTATATTGGCCTCATGAAACAAGTTGAGAGGTGTACCCTACTTCTCTATTTTGTGGGAGGAAAAATTGTGTAAGACTAGTGTTATTTTCTCCCTTGCGTGTTTGAAGGAGTTCACCAGTGAACCTATCTGGGTCTGGACTTTTCTTCATGAGAATATTTTATTAATAAATTCTTTGGAAAAATAGTTTTAAGGCTTCTCAGATTTATTATTTTGGGTGGGTTTTCATGTTGGAAGAATATATCCATTTCATTTATTTCTGTAAGGTCAGTAGTCACCCCCTCTTTCATTCTGATTTTAATAACCTGAGTCTTCTTTACTATTGGTCAGTGTAGCTGAAGGTTTGTCGATTTTTGTGATTTTTCTAAAGAATCAACTTTTGGTTTTGTTGATTTTTCTCTGTGGTTTCTTCCTTCTCAATTTCACATATTTCCATTCTAGTTTTTATTACATCTTCCTTCTAGTTGCTTTGGGTTTAATTTGTTATTTTTCTAATTCCTTAAAAATGTAAAGTTAGATGATTAATTTTCAATCATCTTCTCTTGTAATAAATACATTTAGTGCTTATGTTTCCCTTGAGCACTACTTTTGGGGCATTCCACAAGTTTTGATCAATTATTCCTTTTTATTTTGTTCAAAATATTTTTTACATTTTCTTAGACTTCTGTGTTCCATGTGTTATTTAGAAATATGTTGTTTAGTCTCTAAATATTTGGAGATTCCCCAGGTATCTTTCTGTTATTTATTTTTCATTTACTTTGTAGACTGAGGATATGCTTTGCATTATTTCAGTTTTTAAAAATAAGGTGTGTTTTATGGCACAGAACTTGGTCTGTATTTGTGAGAATGTATATTCTGTTGCTGTTTCTCTCTTGGTCAACTATCTGGGATTTTTATGTAATATGCACCTTATCAGATAAATAAATGTATTTGTAATTAAAAACAAAGTAAATAGCTTACAATGAAAATTTATGCAGCCATTGTACTCAGGTTCAAAACAAAATACATAGGTCTTCAAACTAGTTGTTGCCGACAGGCCACGAATAGAATGCCGTGAGCTCCTGTGCTCCTCTAGACGAGTCTTTCCACAGCAGTTACTCTCAGTCTCAGTTCAGGACCCACTGTCTGCTCTGCCACTGATGCCGGCTCTCTTTTCTCTTCATCCCTGACACTTCTGTAGACAAGGGTCTCCCATTTCAAGGACATGTGAAGATGCTCCCTTCACAGAAATTACTAAAAATAATTTTAGTTATTTAAACGATGGGATGATATATTACTATGTTGGTAATGTTTCATTTATTAACAATGACTACTAGATATATACAATGATAGATTTAGCTTTATGATGGAGAATGGATAAAATAATTATAATAAATTTGCTCATACTTGCTTTTATGTCTCCAATATGTTGCAGTATGGCTTTATTCATGAAACAGAGAAGAGTTAGTCTTTTTTTTTTCTTCCTATGAACCACTACTTGCTACTAAACTGACTCTGCAATTTATTTTTCACATTTTTCCAGTTTTCTTCCTATCTTTCCCTTGTTCCCAGCTTCAGGTTTGTAAATGCTTGTGAGTAATTAGGCAGGAAATTAGTAGAGTTGCTTTGTATTCCCTTTATGGAGGAAGCCATTGATGATTTTTTCCCCTGTTGATTGTTTGTAATGTTGACTTTCCTTACTGCTGATCTGACCTCAGACATGGATTCCCCTAAGGAGCATGCTGGTGTTTTGGCTACTGCCCAGCTATTGCTCCCATTCTCCTCTCTGGTGGTTTGAATAGTTAATGACCATGACTTCTCTTTGTGTTCCAGCCTGAAAGAATAGACCCAAGTGCATCACGACAAGGATATGATGTCCGCTCTGATGTCTGGAGCTTGGGGATCACATTGGTATGTATATGTTGACTCAGCTTTGTCACAGTAGTGTAATAAATTTGGAAGTGAAAGAAAATTTAGTCAGTTTTCCACCCCTCATAAAGAACTGCCTCTTATCTCTTCTAGTCTTTGATTTTATTTACCTGTTTTCTTTTTTTCCCACTCATGGCTGTAATCAGAGGGACTACATCTTCTAGTTGTTGGGAAAAAATGATGTTTTATATCTTATACATCAAACCATAATTGGTTATTTCCCTCAAGGTTTGATGAAGTGCCTCAGGCTCTGTAATGTCATCACTCTGGGTCCCTTGGTCACACATACTCAGTAGGATCCAGCAGTCACCCTGAGAGCAAGAATGGAGGGCAGTTCCTGTGCAGGCAGTGCCATAGCAAAGGCTAAGAGGCCCCTCACCTCTAGTCAAGGGGAGTGTGGCCTGTAGACCCGTGCGCAGTGTGTGTCGGGTCTGCCCATTTGTCTATGTGAAGGTAACGCTACTCGAGTCTTCTGTTCAGTGAATGGGAAAGTCACAAACAACTGTGCTGAAAGTAATTCAGTGGAGAAACAGACACTGCCTAGGTGACCATTCTAAATGAAAGTTCTACCTTAGGACCACATGGAGAAAGAATAGTAAGAAATCTACCATAATTCACAACTGATGAAGCACAATTAAATAAACTCTTCTTTCTCACCTGTGGACTATATTGAAATTTTGGTTCTATTTAAAAAGTATCTTTATTTGCTTATTTCCTTAATACCAAATTTTGTTTTGAAGTTTTAGATTTATTTTCTTGTGCTTGCTGTTTTACTAGGCTTGATGGCATTTTTCTGAGTTGGACAGCTTCTATAGCTGTAACTATATTGGGTGTGAGTTTTCCATCTCTAGATGGGGCTGCATTAGTTCTCCTTGTTAGTTATTCTCTGTGAGTCATGTTGCCAGTCCGATGAAGTCTCTGCATGGAGACTTGAAGGCTAATAGCTCACCTCTGCAGAAGACCCCTTCTAGTTTCTCTCGTGAGCAAGTATGGGAGACACCTCCTGGAGTCTTTTCCATGAGGAAGCCACCTGAGTAATGGAGGAGGAATCCCTTCTTTTTCAGTCAGAAAAGAGCATGAAGCTTGGATATCTTTAGGTCTGGTGACTGGCCCCAAAAACTGCAAGAAGACTTGTAGCTTTTAGCTGAGGCAACTATTTGCATATAAAACATTAAAAGATTCAGAAATATTTATCTTTGTCCAAAACAGTTATGTTTAAAAAGCAAGTATTTACTTCATTATTAAAAACAAATTTTCTATGAAAGGTTTAAACAGAAAAAAATTTTAGCAAGTTTTTATAGTACATTTGGCTAAATTTTTTTAAAGCAAGTTACTCATAATTATAATTACTTCATAATTTATTTTTTATATGGATAGCCTTATAAAATTATGAAATGTGTGAGATTAATTTCTAGGGTCCTAAATCCTTCACTTTATTCCTTTTTTTCTTAAAACCTGTCCTCAGAGATGAATCTAATGAAGTTATTCCTGATGCTGTGAAGAATCAATAAGGTTTACTTCTTCTCAAGCATTTGCATTTTCATTAAAAAGAAACCTCAGGCAAAGCAAGGGATTTCTGCATATGTGTGCATGAATGCCCAATCTCTTACCCGTGCATATGTAATTTGAGACAGGAATGAGCTGAGGGAGTCATTTTGGAGAGAAGCACCCCTTCCATACCATCTTTTTAGCATTCCTTCTGTTTTATAAAATTAGTATTTGGCTTATTGACAAGAATCAGCCCTGAGCTGGAGAAACTCTGAAACTGTTTTCTCAGATGGTGCTCCCTGTTGTATGCCATCTTCCTCTCTAATAAGTTTAGAGTCTCATATATTATGGCACCGAACACCTGTCAGTGCACAGAAAATGGCATTCATTTAGGCCATGATGTAGATTTAGATACAGTTCTTGAAAAAAGCACATTTGTACGTTTTCATTATGTTCAGGACAGTGGGAGAAAGATGAGAATACATTTCACAAATATTTTTGACCCATTACATGTTGGGACATACATCTGTAACATTTCTCAGGTCTGGGTGGGTATGATTTAGAGATACTGTCTTGAACATCATTATTGGGCTTCACGGTGAAGGATGTACCTCTGACTTGGTTTCTTCAGTAATAGTTATATCTGGCTGTGGTTGAAATTGTAGTAACTTCAGAGTGGCTGCAGAATCGGATATACACATTGTTTCCTTTGAGCTCATTGGGCGGTTTGTATGTTGAATGTTCTTTTACCTTAAAAATGCATTTGACCACTGTTCTGGACGTGGCCTTCCACTGAGATGACTACAAATTGTGCAGACATTGTACTAAAATAGTTCTAAATCGAGCCTTCCAGAATCCTACATGCAAAGGAGTCAGAACCAGACACTGCTCTGGAGCGTGCATTGTGGGGCTGTCTGGGCTCAAGTTTCGTGTTTCCTTTTAGTCCAGTTCATGAATTTGGTTGATAAGAATTCTTTATATTATCTCGATTCTAATTTCACTTCCATTTAGTCTTAATAATTCTGAAGGTTCCAACTTAACCTTACATGGTTTTGATTCAAGGCTTTTATGAGAGTTTTGCTTGGAGTTTAGATTTTCAACCTGGTGGTTTCAGTGAGGAGTAGTAAATAATACCTTAGTGTGTTTTGCTTTTTCCTCTGTGTTCTTTTTAGTACGAGTTGGCCACAGGCCGATTTCCTTATCCAAAGTGGAATAGTGTATTTGATCAGCTAACACAAGTCGTGAAAGGAGACCCTCCACAGCTGAGTAATTCGGAGGAAAGGGAATTCTCCCCGAGTTTCATCAACTTTGTCAACTTGTGGTGAGTACTTGACTTAACGAATACTCAGAACAGTGCATTGAGAACAGTGAGATTTACTTAATCTGAGCAACACTGGTGCTTTACCCTAGAGAAGGGAGCCTTCACATCCTTCTCTAGCCTTCACATCTCTCTGTCTTCTGAGCTGGGACTCTGGCTCACTGTGGCAATTTGGATGGTTCCCACTGGCCTGGAGAGGCTGTACTCTCTTATTCTACTGCTCAGGTGCTGTTAAAAGCAGATGTGGGCGACAGAGAGCCTCTGCCTCCGGTTTGTAGTATGCTGTACAAGGAGTACAGCCTAGGAGAGACCGATGACCTTATTCTGGTGTGGTTCTAACAGTGAGATGATTGCTTGGAAGCTTTTACCAAGTCGAGATCTTCCCCATTCAGACTTGCAGGGGAGGATTTCTGCTTGATATAACATGTAACATGGCTGGGTATGTGTAGTGGATTCAGGCCCAAAGATCATTTGGTTGAACTATATTATTGGCTTTCTGAAACCTTATTTCAAGGAAGGTGAACCCCACACCTGTTAATGTTCTGTTCACCTTTTAACAGGAATGTGTGTAGCAGGTAAGAATAATATATGCAGATATGATAATAATAGTCATGCTTTGTGCTACTTCAGTCTGTATTTTAAATAAAACCTGCTTGTTATTATTTTACTATTTTTAATAATTGTTTACCCACCATGATTTTTAAACATATGTTTATGAGCAAAAAGCCAGAGTGTTTAATATATCTTCTTTTTTTTTTAAAGATTTTATTTATTTTTTTTAGAGAGGGAAGGGAGGGGGAGAGAGAGAGAGAGAGAGAGAGAGAGAGAGAGAGAGAGAGAGAGAGAGAGAGAGAAACATCAATGTGCGGTTGCTGGGGATTATGGCCTGCAACCCAGGAATGTATCCTGGCTGGGAATCGAACCTGGGACACTTTGATTCCCAGCCCACGCTCAGTCCACTGAGCTACGCCAGCCAGGGCAATATATCTTCTTTACATTCTTAAAAATGCTTTTGTTTTTCCCATAGTTTTTTTCTCTCCAGGAGTGCTGTTTCTCTCTTTTTAGGTCCTATGAAACTTACATCTCATTGTCTGGCACTGCTTTCTTTTCACATAATCAGGAAACACTTGTTTGACTCTTAGTTTGCAAATCTCTTTCGTCTTCCTTAACTAAATTCTACTTTTGTGCTGGTTTTCAGAGGGGAGAGGAATTACTCAAGATTTTCTAGTCAGAAGAAGGCCATAAAGATGACTGAAATTGTCTACTTTTTCTCTTTTAAAAAATGTTTTTACTAATTGGCACACATATTTGCAGTTTATATAATTTGCATAAATTGATCATTTTATATATCCTATTTTAATGAAATATTTGGTTAAGAGAATCATAGAACATCATATCTAATATGATCCCCTATAGACCCTGGCAGGGTAGCTCAGTTGGTTAGGGTATCATCCCCATATGCCAAGGTTGTGGGTTTGTTCCCCAGTCAGGGCACACACAGAAAGCAACCAATGAATACATAGATAAGTGGAACAACAAAACTAACACTGTCTTCTCTCTCTCCCTCTCCCTTCCTCTCTCTGTCCACCAGTTTTGCTTTCTTCTGAACTTTTCAATCTCTTTACTGATTGTGTTTATATACGTAGTACTTTTATATTTTTGTGTCCTTTCATGCCAGTCCTGTCCCATAGACAGTGGTTCTAGTTATCAATGTCCCATTGTTTTCCCTAAGTAGGTTAGAAGTAGATGAACTATGTTGCCAATATTAACTAGCTTTTGATAGTAAAAATGAATTTAATTGAGGTTGGAGGACAGTGGTAATTAAGACATGGTCCAAGATCAGGTAAATACAAACAGATGAAAATACTTCTGGCAACATTAATTAGACAGGATAGAATTCAGGGGAAAATGTCAGCAAGCGGAAGTTTTTACCTAGTCCTTATTGAAGCTGCACGGTTGTAAACTTTTGGACCAAAGAACACAGGATTGAGATACAGAGTGTGCAAATTTTTTTAAATCTAAGGATAAGCTAATAAGGTTTATATATAGTTGACCTCCCAGGTTATCAGTATCTCTTAGGTGGTACCTCTATCAATACATTTGTATATATTCAGAAATACACATATTTAATTGTATACTTATACATACACTTATATATTTGAGAGTATATTTAGTATTCTTTGATGCAGCTATGCCATAATTTATCTAATTATCAACAGTTACCTTGTTTCTAATTTTTCTGTAATGTTCCTATACTGCATAGCCTCAGGATAAATTCTTATATTAAACATTGTCTAATTTTTTGTGTTTTCTGTGTTTGGCAGGTTATTTGCTTTGTATCTGAAGGAAAAAACTACTTGAGTCTATAGTATTTCATTTGTGAGAAAAGATACTTGGAGTAAATGTGTCTTTATTTTAATAATGTTATTTTTTATGTTATTTTAGCCTTACAAAGGATGAATCCAAAAGGCCAAAGTATAAAGAACTTCTGGTGAGTGAGACCTTGGGCATATTAGCTCTTTCCTCATCCTTGAATCCCCTCAGCATGCTGGGCCACTAGCAAGCACTGGGCCTCTCTGTCACAGACAGCTTGACCTTACCGAGTGTTTTTTAGAATGTGTTGAAACATATACTTGGAAAGAGAAAATTTGTTGTAATTTTCTTACTAATTTACTAGCTATATTCTCATGGAAAGTTTTGGCTTTGACACATTATAAAAATTACCCTGAAGAATTTTAGTATCCACTTTTAAGGAGCCATTTTTTACTGCGCAGGCTATGTATTTGTGATATGTCCATGAGAATTTATGGTGCTTATTCTGCCTTAATTAAATGTTGTCATACAAATGTAGATCATATAGCCAATTCCCATTTATTTGAAAGTCCTCACCCCTGCCGAGGAACCAGGCATTTTAAGGAGTCACCTGGTTGTAGCATTGGTCTTGGCTGTGAAGAAAGGACGGTGCTGTAATAATGTGGGGATATTTTAAGGAAAAATCCACCTGTTTTGACAATTTGCTTCTAGCTCTCTGGGATGTTAGATCAGACTTATCATCAACCCCAGCCATGACTAAAGATACCCAGTCAGTATGCTTAGAGGAGCAAGGAAAGGAAAATATTGATAGAGAAAGAGTACCAGGCAGATGGGGGTCTTGAGGCTTTGGAGAGTGTAGTGCAGACATTCATAGGATTCGTTTCTGTTGACCTTCTTTTGGCCTGGGGGTTGGAAGGATGGAAACTGTATCTTTTTTTGTTTAAGATTCGCTTTCGGTGCCTGGGGGAAGGGAGTTGGAGTTGATGCCTGTGCCCTAAGACTAGCCCCTGGTACTCCTGTACTTTGGTTCTCAGACGGTGGCAGAGGCCCCAGCTGTTTTTGGGCTGAGGAACAGCGGTGCTCCCTGCCTCCACCCATTCTCCTGGGGATATGGATTGGTCTCCAGACCCCATGCCCAGGGTGGCTCCTCCAGCCCCAGCACTGTGCACTGTGTCCGGGCACACTCATACCCATGAACACATGTCCCTGCACTGCAGGCTGGGCTGCCTCTCTGAGCTGGAGCTGGAGCACTTTACGGCCTTGGGTGGTTGGGAGCCTTGTTTTTATGCTGTGTCAAAATCGGGAAAAGTTCGATGTGGGCTCTAATACAAATTTTGATACTTTTTTTCTGTTTTTTTTTTTCAATTTTCTTGCAGAAACATCCCTTTATTTTAATGTATGAAGAACGTACCGTAGAGGTTGCAAGCTATGTTTGTAAAATCCTGGATCAAATGCCAGCTACTCCCAGCTCTCCCATGTATGTCGATTGATACCGCTGCTAAGTCAGACTCAAGAAAAAAGGGCTGAGAGGAAGCAAGACATAAAGAATTTTAACCCTGTATCACAGTGTTTTTATTGCTCGCCCAGACACCATGTGCAATAAGATTGGTGTTCGTTTCCATCATGTCTGTATACTCCTGTCACCTAGAACGTGCATCCCCGAAACACCCGATTGGTCATACAGTGTTAGTGCTGGTCAGAGAGACCTCATCCTGCTCTTTCCTGATGAACATGTTCATGAAATGTGGAAGTCAGTATGATCAACTTGTTGACTGTGATTAGATCACATCTTAAATTCATTTCTAGACCCAAAACCTGGAGACGCAGCTACTGGAGTGGTATTTTGCCAGACTTCCAAATACTGGAAGAATGCAGGGATGGATGTACTATGTCTGAACAGAGAGACTCGGGCTGGCGTGAGAAGAGCTTGCACAGCCGATGAGACACGTTGCCTTCTAGAGCTGGGAGACAAGGAGGAATTTACTTTCTTCACCAAGTGCAATAGATTTACTGATTTGACTTCTGTTGCTTTACAGTCACAGTCGATGTTTGGGGATCGATGTGCTCAGCCAAATTCCTGTTTGAAATATCATATTAAATTAGAATGAATTTACCTTTACCAAAAATCATGTTGCATTCAAAGAGGTGAACATTAAAATATTGAGACAGGACAGAATGTGTGTTCTCCTTTACCAGTCCTTCAACTCTCCACTGGGAAGACTCAGGAGTCTGCCACTTGTCAAAGAAGGTGCTGATCCTAAGAATTTTCACTCAGAGTTTGGTGTGCCGCCAACTTGATGTTCCGCCTGCCACAAACCACCAGGACTGAAAGAAAAAAAATAGTACAGAGGGCAAAGTTTACAGATGTTTTTAATTCTAGTATCTTATCCGAAGCAACTTGTAGCAGCTGTGTATTTCCCCTCCGTCCCGAGGCTACTGCCTTTGCCATCATAACTTACCACCAGGGAGAAGGAGCTAGTAGCAATGTGCCTTGACTGATTAGATAAAGATTTCTTGTAGGCAGCAAAAGACCAAATGTCAGTTGTTTGCCATCACTGGTCCAGGTCTTCAGTTTTGGAATCTCTTTCCCTGCCTGTGTAGTCTGTTGCCACTATGTGACTTTTGCTTAATCTAATTATTTCACCATTTTTTCTCTGTATCAAAAACCTTTATAATTACCAGGGATGTTCCCTACCAAGGATTTCCAGCCCCACATCTCTCAGAGGCTTTAATGTTTAAAAGGCTGAAAAACGTGGGGCTCAGCTAATGTGATAGGTGATGAGGAAGAAGCATCTTTCTGGAAACACATGTGACCCAATGAGGATCTGAAATGGCAGATTTTTAGATAAGCTCATCGGCTGTGAGAAATCTCTAGCAGGTCACCATCATTTCTTGGAATTGGAATTCTACAAAAATACCCCCAAACCCAAAACAATTCCAGAGCAGATTTAGAGGCCATTTAAACCTGCTGTCTTTGCTGTGCTTCCTCACTCACCCATCAGCCAGGGCCTCCTGTGGCTGTGCTCTGTCTGGCCCTGGGCCCTGGAACACCAGGCTTTGCCAGCAGCACTGTGAGCGGCTCAGGCACACTGGAAAGTGAGGCAGCTGTGGTCTGAGAGGCAGGTGGCACCATGACAGAACTGCACGGTGGCAGGGGTGGCTGTGTCTCCTCCAGAGTGACAGTCATAAACACTATAAAACAATAAGGGAGAATGGTGCTGTTTTAAAGTCACATCCCTGTAAATTTCAGAGTTCAAAAATGATTGATCACTTTGGTCCACTTGCCTAATTTTCCTATTTTCTCCCCCACGGCATCCTAAACCTCAGACTTCCCAGTGTTCTGAAAGGAAGCCTTGTTAGGTGTCTTCCTTCAACCACACCAAGCCATCCTCCTCCATATCTCCCGAGGACTCGAGGAATTGGTTTCTCTGCTGTCCGTTCCTGTCTAGCTCAGCATAGTGTCGCTTCGCCATTATACAAATGGAGATGAAAGCAATTCTGACTGTCCAGGAGCTAATCTAACCGTTCTATTGTGTGGATGACCACATAAAAAGGAAATTTTAGTGTATTAATCATAGATTATTATAAACTATAAACTTAAGGGCAAGGAGTTTATTACAGTGTATCTTTATTAAAACAAAAGGGTGTATAGTGTTCACAAACTGTGAAAATAGTGTAAGAACTGTACATTGTGAGCTCTGGTTATTTTTCTCTTGTACCATAGAAAAATGTATAAAAATTATCAAAAAGCTAATGTGCAGGGATATTGCCTTATTTGTCTGTAAAAATGGAGCTCAGTAACATAACTGCTTCTTGGAGCTTTGGAATATTTTATCCTGTATTCTTGTTTGAATTCCTCCTCTATTTAAGATATATACATGGAATATACATGGAATCGAAGTGTTTATGTAATAGTTCTATCCTTTTGCCTGCAGGTCAGTTGTAATAAATCTAGGATGTGATGATGACTTTGTAATTTGGTTTTCTGAAGTAAGACCCTGAGAGGGGAAAATTAAGTAAATTCCATTAAATTATCTGTGCATTTCACATTGGGAAAATTCTCTTCTTTGGAAGTGTTTATGGCTCCTTTTTCTTCTGTCTCCTTGTGGTTGCTATTATCACTTTACTTTCTGTTGGAGCTAGTGTGGTGCTGAAACTCCTGAAGTTTGTTTTTTTTGTTGGTTGCCCTGATCTGCCCAGCTTTCTTCATGCTAAAGGGAAAAGGTACTTTTACTCTTTGTTCTTCAGCCTGTGGCATGGTGCAGAGATACAACTTTTAAGAATCCAGTCTGCCTGGGTTCGGGGTGCGGTTACTGGCCGTGTTTCTGCTCCTGGTGCTACAGCTGCTGAAGACTGCATTCACTCACTGCTCCCTGAGAGGGAGGGGTGGGTCCAAGGTCTGTGAAGGTCAGGCCTGGGGTTTATGGATAGGAGGACTTGGAGGTGAGCAACAAGCCATGGAACCCTGGAAACTTGGAGAAGACAACGTTGAAGCTTCAGCCCTGAATTTATCTGTGATACTACCACCTCTTGGTCATTGATCAAGTCTGACTCATTGATCAGACATTATTAGTTCAGCACCTTACCCTTTTTCTGTGTCTGCTTCTCACCTGATCTAGACATAGGAGATACCATTACAGAACCAGATGTGATAAGTATCAAACATTCTCCAAGGAAGGGTGTGGCTATAGGAGTCCTGGCCTTTCCACCTGAGCCTTGGCTGCTGGGGGAAGGTGACCCTGGGGAGTGTCCAGATCCCCCTCCAAGCACTGGTTCAGCATCAGGAGAGACAGGTAGACTGCACACCATGCTTTGTGGGCAGTACAAGTATTCATCTAATTTGACTAGTCTTCGAAGTCAGGTTGTAGTGTCCCCTTTTAGATATGAAAAACAAAACAGCACAAAACAACAACAAAGAAAACCAAGGCTTAGAGAAGTGAAATTCTGATTCTGGTAACAGAAGGAGAGGAGAGCTGAGACTCAAACCCAAGGCTGTAACACCTAGTTTCTTATGGAATTAGAATTTAGAAATGGCAATTTTAAAAAACTGACCTGAAGTATTGTAGAATGGAGAGGTAGAAGACTGAACTGTAGTTGGGGTTAAACCTAAGGCTCATACACCTTCCCAAGGCCTGCTTGGTTATCTTGGACAGTGGTCCCCAACCTATTTGACACCAGGGACCCATTTCATGGAAGACTTTTTCCACGGACAAGCTGGTGGGGGATGGTTTCGGGATGATTCAAGGCCATTATATTTCAAGTTCACTCCCTGCTGTGTGGCCTGGCCTCTGACAGGCCTGGGTTGTACCAGTCCGGAACCTGGAGGTTGGGGACCTCTGATCTTGGAAATGAGTGTAAGTCAAAGGTTCTGGAGGCTCAGAGGCTGATATAACAGCAGCTGTGTAGATGGTGGTTCCCTTAAAGCCAACCAGAGATGCTCTAACCCCTAATTCTTAAGTCGGGTGCCTGAGAATTCAGGATAGCGGCCTCTGTGTCCATCACTGAAAATGGGGGTTTGGCAGGAATTTCAGGTGACTCCTTTAGTTGGCATTCAAGTGCACGTTCACTTTCTTATTTCTCACATCTGTCTGCTGCAGCAGCATAAAGGGCATAGAAGGTCTTGAAGGTGCCCTGGAGCATGGGCTGCCCTGTTTCACAGGCCCAGGTGTGGTTAATGTCCCCGGACTCTCGGTCAGAGCTCTATGCATCAGTCTCACCCACAGCATCTGTGCTTATTAAGGGATACTGTTGGTTTTGAACTTGCTGGTTTGCTTAAATACGTCATTAAGTGGTTTGAGGAAATAGTGACTCTCTTTAGGTACACTGCAAGAACACGTAGAATGGGCAGTTGGTATTTGACTACGTGGTATAAGGAATATGTTCAGTGTGTGAAATATCAGCTTCCATATATGTTCTGGTAATTTAGACCAAAGCAGTGCATTACTTAGTTTTCCAAGGAATTCTTATCTCAAATCTTGGAATCGTTATAAGTGATAGTATAGTTCAGTATCTACAATAACTTTTTTTGTTGTTTTTCTGATGATATGCCAAAATGTATTTATACTTGTTAAATGTAAAATGTGATTTTGCTATTTAAAATTGTTAATCCAATATTGCATTGTGTAAAGTCACAATTGAGTCATAATGTGTAATGAATCCAATTTTTATCTGCATTTGAAATTTCTATCTACATATGTTCTACTGAAGAACTGCAGAATTGAACTGCTTTTTTTTTTATAACAATTGATGTGAACACAGCTTTGTGAGGCAGACAGTATTGTTGCCTCAGTCCTGCACACAGGGCACCAATGGTAAATAAGGAGGTAATTTGTTTAAGGCAATGATGCATTGTTGGAGTCAAGCATCCGTCAGTGCACTGGGTGTCTTGATGCTTTGTTGAGATTTTTCTTGTGAAACTGTGTGCTTCCCATTGGACAGATTGATGAATTGCAAGGTTAGATTCTCAAATGGCTACACTTTTTTTTTCAAGCAAATACTTGTTACACATACATGATTCCCACCTGTTTTATGGACTCTACACTTACTCCAGCCCAGGTGTTCTATAGTTAATTTCTTTTCTTGAAAGTCTAGACCCCACCTCAATTTTGCCTGTTTTTAGAAAGTAAATCCATTTCAAAGGATGAAGAATAGCTCCAGCTGAGGTTAGAGCAAGTGTAAGAACTTGATAGAAACAGCTTTTTTTCCTGAGGATGTCAGGGCCTTTCTCTGAAACTTGCCTTCTGCATACAGCCCTTTCTTCACCTCTGCTTCCAATTAGGGACCAAGTCCTTCTGATCGTATCTGTTCCTCTCTAACCCCATGGTGTCACACACTCATTTCTTGCCTTGTATCTCTGACTTGTGGTCTTCCTTAACTCCAGTGTTAGCCCCTTCAGTGCTTCCCCACGAATGCCCCTCTCTTTCTACAGCGCTAATCTAACCATGCCATTCTTGTTTCAAATTCTTTAATGAGTTTCTGGGATGTGTGAGATAAAGGCCAAATGGTTTTAAATGTCTAGTTTTATTCAGTCCTCAGCACATGGGTAGAAACTATTATGTCATTTTAAAGACGAGGAAGTGGGCTCACTGCCTTTAGTAACCTGTCCACTATCACAGAACCAGAGAGGAATCTGGAAGGGTCAGGGGTCAGGCACAAGTCTAAACAAGTAGACAGGGCCACAATTATACAGGGAATTGTACATCATGCCAAGGAAGAACTTTTATCTCCCAAATGCAGGAGAACCAAATGGGATTTTAAACAAGAAAATGGTTTGATCTGATTTGTGCTTTAGAAAAATTCTTTCAGTGACTATATGTAGGCTGGAATGGAAGTAGGGAGATTTGAAGATCAGTGAAGAAACCTGCCCTGTCCTAGGCAGAAAATAGGGGGGCTAATGCAATGGTATGGGGAATGGAGATGAGAGGACTTAGGAAGTAACTTAGGGTGTGGAGTTAGATAGATGGATCCCTGATCAAATGTATGGGGTAAACAAGGGAGTAGGGGAGCTGGAAAAAACATTTTTCGGTTTCGGTGACTCGGGTTGCTTCACAGTTTACCAAACCTGCTGTGCCCTCTCAGGCCTTTGTTTATAGCCCAGACTGGTTCTTTTTGTCTGAAATTCTTCACTTGCCCATTGAAAGCACCTGCTTATTTAAGACCTGGGTTACATGTCACATGTTCTGGGTGACCTTCCCCAGTGCTGTCCTCTGAGCTCAGATAATGTTTTTAAGAACATAAATCTATGCAGCATTTAATTATGTTTAGTTGTATTTATTTGCCTCTTTCTTTACTTGATGGTGAATTATTTAAAGTCACTCAAAGCCATAGTCAGGGTCCCGTGGCAGAGTCGGCCCAGCTGTCATGCAGTGCTCGTGCTTCTCTGAGAAAATGGCTGTGGAAGCCTGATGTTCCTCTTGTTGAAGATAGCATTTCATTCTATTGAGCCTAGATGATTTTCTCTATAGCAATTCAAAATAAATTGGATTCTATGCCCATGGCTCACCTCTGCTAAAAGGAAAGAGGTGAATACAGGTCGCAGTTGGGGCTGTCCTACCAGTCAACAGTTACCAACCAAATTTTAGGTACTGAGAAAAGAGTAGTCAACTGTCATTAAGAAAGTACTAGTACTCTGGCCAGTGTGGCTTGGTGAGTTGGACAGTCGCCCCTTGTACAGCAAGGTTGCAGTTCGATTCCAGTCAGGGGTCATGGCACATACCTGGATCTCGGGGTCAATCCTCGTTTGGGGCATGTAGGGAAGGCAACCAGTTGATGTTTCTCCCTCTCTCTCAAATCAGTAAATGTATCCTCAGGTGAAGATTAGAAAAAAGAAAGTAATAATGACTTGTGATTCTGACAGGATGTTAGATTAGGTATCAATAATGATAACTCTAGTTGAAGGAACTACATTCATAGTTACAAAATAAAAACATTTACTTTAAAATGCTTTCCTGAATTGGCCCCAAAGGCATCTGGGAAGCCCCCACACAAACAGAAGCAGGAACTCTTGATCCCAACCTGCTTGTGCCTGTTTCTAGAAAGTAGATCCATTTTCAAAGCATGAAGAGTTATGTCCATTGAGGACAGAAAAAATAACTTGCTAGGAGCAGCTTTTCTTCCTGAAGATGCCAGGGCCTTTAAAAGTTGCCTAACAAATAGTGACTACATAAAACTTTTTTGCCTAGAGTTTTTGTGGAATCCTGGAAACCTTGAGCTTTTGTATTCAAAATCATGCCATGTTAGGGCTCGGAAAATAGGTGTGGCACCTGCCCACCGTGGGTTAGAGGCTGGGAGCTCAAAGAGCTACATGCAAAGTGGAAGGTAGAAAAAAAATCTGATCTGTCCATCAATTGGAGATGGAATTGAAACATACTTGCCTTCATCTTGGCACTAGGTGGAGGAAAAATGTTAAGATGGCCAAGAATCCACACATAACCACAGGTCAACTTCCATGTGGGGTCATGGTCTGAATTCACACTACCTCTGTCATCCAAACCCCAAGCAAAGAGTTTAAACAGACGTAGGTTAGCAGTGTCCCCAGGAGGCTGACA